CTGTTTATAAAGAATGTGGCCTGCAAGTAATGTAATTGCTTCACTCTTGGTTCCATTAAGCCACAATATTTGTGGTTATCATCTTGTAGCCAAGTTTGTGAGCAAGGCTACAGTCAACGTCAAAAGCCACAGCCAAAGTCATTGTTATTCAATGGATTAGCCACGTTCATCACAATGTACCTGGAATCTAAAGCCCTGGTGCAACATAGCACATAAGCACATGCATAACCTTTGACATGTTCCATTAAAATCAATGGAACTACTAAACATACTTAAAGATATGCACATGCAGCGCTTTGCTTAAATGCGTAAACTTTTGGTGTGTATATGGACTCCACTGGCCTAGGAAATAAGTGACTAGTGGCTGCTGTCATGAAAACAGGTCAGGAGACCACAATTTTCAAATTTTATTAACAATACTATGAGTTTGTAGCATACCTGGGGATAGTGAATATTTCTGTTAACTTTGTAATGATTTCTATATAATCACCCTTAATTGTGCAGATCAAACTGAGGCATCTTTAGGTAGCATTACACTTGTTGTTTAGTAGATACACCACCAAATACTGCTGACAAAAAACGAATGCACTGTTTTTATTCCCTTTTATTTCCTCTTACAAACAAAACAGCACAAAACAAGAACCTTGTAAAAAATTACTTGACATTTCTCTAACACTATTAATTTGAAGATCTCAAAGTGCTTTACAAACATAAATTAAGTGACAGGACTCTAACGAAGGAGAGTATTATCTCCTTTTTACAACAAGGAAAACTGAGGTACAGGCTGGTTAAGTGACTTGTCCACGCTAACACAGCAAGTTAGAGAACCAAGGAGTCCTGACCAGGGCCGCTGAGAGCAGGTTTGGGCCCCGGTTTAAAATATTTTTGGGGCCCCCCAGCAAGGGCGGACCGGCTAAACAGGGCCGACGAGGGGGGGGGAAGCCGGGCCCTGGGCCCCCTTCCGGACCCCCGAGCCCCGGTAATTTGTCCCAGCCCCCCCCCCCCCCCCGCTGGCCCTGGCCCTGACTCCCCTTCTCCTGCTCTCTTCACTCCTCTACACATTCTCTCAGGGAAATACTAAACCATTCAATAAATTACAAACTACTTAACTTCTATGATGCTTCTTAACATGTTGAATATGTTGGGCAAATACACCTTCAGTGCCACCACAATACTTTGTCCATCAAGACACACTGTTCTGATTTCAATGGAACTCCAGAAATCAATGCACAGGAGATGATCAGCAGAGGGAATAGGACAAATGGAGGTGAAATGATTAGGAACAAACAACCAAAAATAAACTCGTTTCCAATGTCCTTTTACACTAAAAAAACCTCCACTGTTTGTTACGTCTGACAACAAGTGACCAGAGAGACACGGTGGGTGAAAGAATATCTTTTACTGGATATAACCTCACCCACCCACCTGGTCTCTCTAATATTCTGGGACCACCATGGCTACAGCAACACTGCATACAACAGGTGACCAGACAGACTTCACTACTGGCTGGCTGGGCTAACTGTGCATGCCTCTTGCACATAACCACAGCCAAAACTTGAAACTGGACCCTGCCTGTCACTTTACCAGGGACATCAAAAGAGAACCTGCTTGTGATATGGTTACTAAGATCTGTGCTAAACTTCTCTCAGCTAGAAATGGCTCCTTCTACATCTTACACTTGCTTATTTCTTACCTGACTTAGAGCAGGTTCTAATCAACTAAAAGGAAACAAACCATCAAAAAAAACAACCTTGCATTGAGGGAAGGTAGGGGTGCGTGCGTGTGTATACATGCACCTATATTCCTTTAGTGACGGCCATTTTTTCAGTTTTGTGATTTGTTCTATTAGGTAAAGAGACAGGCAGGGTAAAGTCACATCAGGTTAAACATGAAATCTTTTGGAGATTTGGTTATAAATTAAAAACATGTTAAGATCACTTGTGCCATGGGCTGGGCTGGCCCCCCGCAGCACTACAGACAAGAGGAACACAAAGAGTGGCACAAAGCTGTCTCTGACTCCCTACCCCACTTGAGTTCTGTACCCAGCATAGTTCCGCTGGATCCTAGGACTGGGGCCCAAGTCCTCAAAATATCTGAAGGTAAAGAATTAAAAACCATGGATTGCCCTCCTGATGTTTAAATCTTTTCTTTGCCTGACTTTTTAGATACATTTCAGGATCAAATTCCTAATTATTCACAGCCCCTTGTCATGCTGTCTGTTCATTCATCCCCCTGTCATTTTACGAATGTTTCCTACAAAACATTTTCTAGTGATTTGTCTCAGCGTTCTTCCAAAACAAGATCCTCAAACATGGTCGCCAACTGCAGGCTCCTGCTAGCAGACTGCATTGCAGGGCCCAAGTCTGCTGGATTGTTGTCTCTCATCAAGATTATCTCCTTGGGATACTATGAGAAATGTGGTTGTGGTCTGCTGTGAAGTACTGACTATTACATCAGATTATTTCTTGTATTTGCTTTGATCATATGCCAGCCGATTTATAATGAAATTCCACTGTCCAGAGCTATGAACTTTATCCAGATTCTCTATCGTTTTTCTGTGACTGGTGTACATGAGCTGATCACTCAGATTCCTACTGCACCGATGTAATATATTACTCTAGCTATTAATCTGTGCAATAGAATTTAAAAATAATTTTCATGCCACTTAATATTTTATGATTTATTGCATGTCACCAAATTTCCTCATGCAGAGGTTCAGTACCCGGGTTAACAACTTCATTTCAATACACTTTCCTGTTTGACACTGAGTTATGCGCACATATGCAAATAAATAAATAAATAAAGTTGAGCAACTAGGAGGCTCTCCCCACTCCAGCCAGCACTCTGGGAAAAACCTTGAAAATCCTCCAAAAGTGCTAGAGGGCACATTATAATCAGTGTGGGCAGATTTCCTATATTTGTATGTGACTGCGCCACAAGCCACTGTTAATTCAAAACTTCACTGCTCCTTGCAAACTGGTTGGTTCTAAAGCAGGCAATCGTTCCAGTCATAAAGCTGAACACTTTCTTCAGATCATCCTTGCAAGACTACCCCCACCCAAACTTACTTTATTTAGGGCCAAATCTAGGCCATGGAGAAGGATTTTAGGGCAAGGGAGATCTATGGGTATGTCTATACCACTGAGACAATACTGGCATAGCTAAACTGGAATAGTTATGCTGGCATAGCTTCGTAGCGTAGACGCAGCCTGTGCTGACAGAAGGGGTTTTTCTGTCCATGTAGGAACACCACCTGCCCGAAACAATATTAGCTATGCTGATGGAAACACTCCTCCAGTGACACTGCTGTGTCTACATTGGGGATTATGTCAGCATAACTATGCCAGTCGGGGGTGTGGTTTCCCCCCACTCCTGACCAACACAGCTATGTTGATACAGACGCTCCCCGCCTTACGCAAGCGTTCCATTCCGGAACGCCTTGCGTAAGTCGAATTTTGAGTAAGTCGGGAACATATCTCCGACAATTATGGAAAAAAAAAAAAAGCTTACAGAACTTTTTCCGTAAATCCGGATTTCCATAAGTCGGGTTTGTGTAACCCGGGGAGCGTCTGTATAACTTTCAAGTACAGACCAAGCCTAAATATGGCTTTGTCCCTTTCACCCACCCATGGGAATGCCCATGGTTTGGGGCTTTGCATAGCCAAGCTAAATTAATGGCTGGTCTACACTAGGAACTTACATTGGCATAGCTACGTCTCTCAGGGGTGTGAAAAATCCACAATCCTGAGAGACATAGCTAGGCCAGCCTAACCCCAAGTGTAGACCGCGCTAAGTCAAAAAAAGACTTAGCTATCATCTCTTGGGAGGTGGATTACCTATGCTGATGGAAGAACCCCTCCCATCAACATAGATAGTGTCTACACCAAAGCATTACGACAGCACAGCTGTAGCAGTTTAAATACAGACATACCCTAAGACCAGGAAAAGTTTATCTCAGTTGCATCATCCACAAACCCATGCAAATTCACCCTGCAAACATATGGAAACCCCTGCAGAATTTCCCGCTGAAACTCATGATGTCCTAAAAACACTCCCAGCACTCAGAGGACTGTCCAGCATAGGCATAGAGGGGATGGTAAATGGTAGCACAGCTACTTAGGAAGAGGATATCAAGGAAGCGGATTAGCATGGATTGGCAGATGCTCCATGCGGATGGCTCATGGTTTGCTGGAGTTTCCTTTAGGTTCCTAAGGAATCATGAGCATCAACCTTTGCCCTCCTGATCACATGATGCCTCAGAAACCCAGTGGTTCTGATTTCCACTGCTTGAACCTTGAGAAATCATGTACACTTGTGCAAAATGATCACAAAGTGAATCTGCCAAATCAGAATTCTCCACTCATGTACACCAGTGGTAGCGTTTTACATCCACTGAGCACAGGATTGAAGAACTTAAAGAAGGTGCAAAGGAGTGGAAAATCAAGCCCAATGAGTCTACATTTACTGTGTCTAATTCTGCTGTCACTTATCCTGGGGTAACTGAAGAGTAAATCAGTTGAAGTACATTGAATTACACCAGTGTCAAAGTGGTGTGAGATCAGAGTCAGGCTCAGTGAATTGCCCTTCTGTAGGATGTCTCCCCCATCCCCAATAGAGGGCAGAATCTGAAACACAGAGATTGCGTCTCATTTATGTTAAGGCCCTTTTACATTCCTCTGGCAAAGTAAAGAACCCTTACACTGCAACTCAGAGGTAATTTAGACCCTTATCCATAGTTCAAGATTATGATTAAAAAAATGAACCTGTAAAGAAAGGGGTATATCCATCAATACATCACATCGACCAATAATTTTAACAATAGAATAGCTGGCATATTGGAAATCCAAGTACTAGTTTAATCAGCAACAGGCTGGTCACACAGGTTTATCTTTCCAGATATCAACCTGGACAGGACAGAGGTTACATTAGTTCAATTATACATGGTTTAATGATCAACTGAATCCGTTTGCCTTTTCTGAACCGAACAGGCATATATATAGGCTAAATTCTTCAACCTAGAACCACCATACAGCAAAAACTATAACTAGGGAAAACATCTCTGTTCAAAACTACCTTAGGACATTGGAAACAGACACCATGAAAATAGCTCTCGTCTTTCTTTTCATTGCCCCTTTTGCTATTTCAAGTAAAATTGACAAGGACTACTCTTCCATTGATTCTGCACCTCCTGAGCCAAACTCAAGATTTGCCATGTTAGATGATGTGCGGATTTTAGCTAATGGGCTTCTCCAGCTTGGGCACGGCCTTAAAGACTTTGTCCACAAGACCAAGGGGCAAATGAACGACATCTTTCAAAAACTGAACATTTTTGACAAGTCTTTTTATGAGCTCTCACTGCAAACCAATGAAATCAAGGTAGAAGAAGAAGAGCTCAGAAAAACAACTTCCAGATTGCAGGCCAACAATGAAGAGATAAGGAATATATCCCTCGAGCTGAACTCAAAGATTGAAGACCTATTACAAGACAAGATCCAGCTTCAAGAGAAAGTAGGGGGGCTGGAAGAGAAAGTAATTAAATTAGTCCACATCCAGCCTGAAGTTCAAGAACCGAAAGAAATGACTTCACTCAAAGTAAGTAGACTTGAGGACACCCAGAGAGTAGAAAGCCAAAGTAAATCGGAATGCTATTTTAGGGAGTGTTACTCTGAAAGCCATGTTTCCTCCACACATTTCTAGAAGCAGTAATATGTATTTTGAGAAATAAGCTTTGTATATTAATCTGGAGACTAATAGTCTTGCAGAAATCAATTCAAGTGTCTTATTATGGGCCACAAAATGTCATCAGTTTTAAAGCATAAATCCCCAAAGAAATCAGTGAGGAAATATGCTTGAAAACAGATGGAATGATATGGCCCTATATATTTTGCTCTGCACTTAAAAAAAAAAAATCAATTTCAAAGTACACTAAACCATAATGGTAAACCCTTTGGAAATCAGATTAACAAAACTACAGCACAATACAGTTCCATTGCAAAATGGTGGTCTATGTGAATTCTGATAGGTTTAATGTTTATAAGATTTAGTAACACATATTTAAAAAATGAACTTTAAAGAGGGGTTATCTATCTATGGTACTTATATGGTCCCCATCACCACAGTACCTGAGCACCTCAAAATTTTCAATATATTTATCTTCACAACACCCTGGGAGGTAAGGCAGTGCCATTATCCCCAATTTACAGATGGGAACTGAGGCACAGAAAGGCTAGGTGACTTGCCCAAGGTCACACAGAAAACTCATGGCACAGCAGGGAAATTAACTCAGGTCTTCCAAGGCCTAACCACTGGAGCATCCTTCCTCTCTACTGGCCTACTGGTATGTGTTATTTATATAGTTCAATTAAAAACACAAGACAGCTCCACAAAAATTCATTCTTTGAATCACCTACAGAGTGGGATTAAAGTGTTTGAAATAAAGGACCAAATGAAGGCCTCTGAAGCTGAGAGCAGTTTTGTTCAAGTAAGAGCTACATAAATTTGATCCATAATTGGTGTAGATACTCATTGCAGAGGAAAAGAGAGGATTCTGCCTCACAAGATAGGACAGGGAAGGCAAAATAAAGGAAAACAATAACCATTGTGCAGTGGTTTTGCCTTTAAAAACTGACACCGATAAAAAAAGATTGGTTGAAGGCTACTTTTGCTAAGGCATTAATCTGATCTTTCTAACACAGAATGAAAGCTGTCTTTGATGAAGTTCCACTTTTTTCCCCTCCAGAATTTTGTACAGCAACAGGACAACCACATTAGGCAACTTCTCAAAGTTGTACAAGAACAGCATGCACAACTTGATAAACAGCACAATCAAATAAAGGAGCTGGAAGAGAAGGTAGAGGAACTAGTTATCTGAATACACTTCTCCTTTCCAGAATTCATTCTGATTGTCTGAGATACCTAGGGGGGGAAATAACCCCAGGGGCCAAAATGCAAAGCTTGGGACACAATCTTTTTGTGGGTGTGCAACTGCTAAATGCGACAGAACTGTTGTGGTACTGTGGTATGTGTTTGGGGCTAGGGCACAAGAATGCGGAGTATAAAGTTCTGCACCATGGACCATAAAACCCAAGTGGGGCATGTTTGGGGATTGTAACTTTTCTCATGTTGTTTAATTCTCTAATTACCAATCTCACTGTTCTTCCAACTCTGTCCTTTCTCCTGCCTCCCACTGTTAAGTTATTTTCCCTTTTTCCTCCTCTCTGTTGCTATATTCATTTCAACACAGCACCATGCCTCTGCACTAAAATGTTTAACCTCTGTTACCACAGCTGTGGGTACAACTGACATGTTTTTGAAACTGACATGCTCCTATTTAATTTCACTCCTCAGAGCAGGCCCCAAAAGAAAAGAGTTTTTAATGCAGGGCCCAAGGGCTCCGTAAACTCTCTAGAGGTTGGGACTAGTTACCTGAGTGGTGTTATTTAGGTGCCAACTTAAGTCCATCCACCGATCAAGATACATGTCAAATGGACAGGTAAGCAAATTGGCAGCTTATCTCAGTGAAGGAGTTTCATAGACCAAACATGAGTTTCAAAGGCTTGGTCTACACTTACCCCCCAAGTCGAAGTAAGGTACGCAAATTCAGCTACGTGAATAACGTAGCTGAATTCGACATACCTTACTTCGAACTTACCGCGGTTCAGACGCGGTCCACACGTGGCAGGCAGGCTCCCCGTCGACTCCGCGGTACTCCTCTCGTTGAGCTGGAGTACCGCAGTCGACGGTGAGCACTTCCTGGTTCGATTTATCGCGTCCAGACCAGACGCGATAAATCGAACCAGGAAGTTCGATTTCCAGCCGCCGAACTAGCGGCTAAGTATAGACCAGCCCAAAGAGGCATGTTAGCATTATAGATTCATAAATTCTAGGGCTGGAAGGGACCTCGAAAGGTCATCGAGTCCAGTCCCCTGCTTTCATGGCAGGACCAAATACTGTCTAGACCATCCCTGATAGACATTTATCTAACCTACTCTTAAATATCTCCAGGGATGGAGATTCCACAACCTCCCTAGGCAGTTTATTCCAGTGTTTAACCACCCTGACAGTTAGGAACTTTTTCCTAATATCCAACCTAAACCTCCCTTGCTGCAGTTTAAGCCCATTGCTTCTTGTTCTATCCTTAGAGGCTAAGATGAACAAGTTTTCTCCCTCCTCCTTATGACACCCTTTTAGATACCTGAAAACTGCTATCGTGTCCCCTCTCAGTCTTCTCTTTTCCAAACTAAAGAAACCCAATTCTTTCAGCCTTCCTTCATAGGTCATGTTCTCTAGACCTTTAATCATTCTTGTTGCTCTTCTCCGGACCCTCTCCAATTTCTCCACATCTTTCTTGAAATGTGGTGCCCAGAACTGGACACAATACTTCAGTTGAGGCCTAACCAGCGCAGAGTAGAGCAGAAGAATGACTTCTTGTGTCTTGCTCACAACACACCTGTTAATGCATCCCAGAATCATGTTTGCTTTTTTTCAACAGCATCACACTATTGACTCATATTTAGCTTGTGGTCCACTATAACCCCTAGATCCCTTTCTGCTGTACTCCTTCCTAGACAGTCTCTTCCCATTCTGTATGTGTGAAACTGACTGTTCCTTCCTAAGTGGAGCACTTTGCATTTGTCTTTATTAAACTTCATCCTGTTTACCTCAGACCATTTCTCCAATTTGTCCAGATCATTTTGAATTATGACCCTATCCTCCAAAGCAGTTGCAATCCCTCTCAGTTTGGTATCATCTGCAAACTTAGTACGTGTACTTTCTATGCCAATATCCAAGTTGTTAATGAAGATATTGAACAGAGCCGGTCCCAAAACAAACCCCTGCGGAACCCCACTTGTTATCCCTTTCCAGCAGGATTGGGAACAATTAATAACTACTCTCCGAGTATGGTTATCCAGCCTGTTATGCACCCACCTTACAGTAGCCCCATCTAAGTTGTATTTGCCTAGTTTATTGATAAGAATATCATGAGAGACCGTATCAAATGCCTTACTAAAGTCTAGGTATACCACATCCACCGCTTCTCTCTTGTCCACAAGACTCGTTATCCTATCAAAGAAAGCTATCAGATTTGTTTGACATGATTTGTTCTTTACAAATCCATGCTGGCTATTCCCTATCACCTTACCACCTTCCAAATGTTTGCAGATGACTTTCTTAATTACTTGCTCCATTATCTTCCCTGGCACAGAAGTTAAACTAACTGGTCTGTAGTTTCCTGGGTTGTTTTTATTTCCCTTTTTATAGATTAGTATATTCAAAATCTCCAAGAACATTTATAAAAGACTTTTCATATTGTACTGTATACTGATTACTTTAAAAGATTAAATTGACAATAAAAATGGATACAGTACCTTGGATTGTTGAACTAAGTATATGACTTTTGATTATAATTCCAAGATGCTTGGGAGATCAATAATACATAAATATGCTTCTTTTCAGCTAAGCAATACAAGTTTCCAAGAAAACACAGAGAGTTCATTTTCTCTGAAGCAAACTGAACCAAAGATCATTCCCCTTCCTTCACATAATTCCACAGCTCCAGTTCAGGAATTCAATGGTAAGATCATATAATGCTTTAGGTATGACTGTGTAACGCATTGTGTTGGCAGTAGTGCATATGCATGCATGAATGTGCTCACTGTTAAATGGTCAGATACAGGAGGTTTTTACCTTTCTTTTTCTAGTTTCTCTATGAAGCCAGTTCTTATGAAAGGGGATGGGTTTTCAACTTTGGAGACTCGAGTCCTCTATTTAACTATATAAAAGGTGCAGCAGTGCACATTTCCCCACACTGCCCCACAAATTTGCCTCCACTTTCACAAAGTGGGACAACTTCTAGGGTTGAAATAGTCCGGTCTCGGTAGGCAATTCAGTCTCTGACCTTTCCCTGGGTTACATTTTGTATCACACATACAAGGCAGTACCTTTACTGTGAGTTTTGATGATGCAGGCATTTGTCCATTTGGAAATGGACTGAGACTGGGATTGACAGGACTTGGATTAGATTTTTAAAGCTGATCAGCATTTTTAGACTTCAGCAATAGTAACATCTGGGAATTCAGTCTAAGGCTACGTCTTCACTACGGGGGGGGGGGTCGATTTAAGATACGCAAATTCAGCTACGCGAATAGCGTAGCTGAATTCGAAGTGTTGCAGCCGACTTACCCCGCTGTAAGGACGGTGGCAAAATCGACCTCCGCGGCTTCCCGTCGACGGCTCTTACTCCCACCTTTGCTGGTGGAGTAAGAGCGTCGATTCGGGGATCGATTGTCACGTCCCGATGGGACGCGATAAATCGATCCCCGAGAGGTTGATTTCTACCCGCCGATTCAGGCGGGTAGTGTAGACCTAGCCTAATTCAAACAACCATGATTAGAACTTTGTGGAGAAAAGAAGTCATTATGTCCAACAGTCTGTTCTTAGACTATCCCTTTTGTAAGATTATCTAAATTGAAACCTTGCCTAATTGAGCAAACACCAGCTGCCCAACAACCAGTTGGCCACTTTTCCTCTGACGTAATTTTTAGCCCATAGAATTTAATTTGCCCATTTCACAGAAGGAACCGTCATAAAAGAACACTCCTGCTGAACTAACTATTCCAGCTTCTGTTTTGTTCCAAGAGGCTCGAAAAAGGCAATTACCTTTGCAGTGCTGGATTGTGTCCTTCAAGCTTCTTAACTGCAAAACGATATCTGTAATTCTTTAATTATTGCTATTCCAGGTGTTGCTACTGATTGCACTGCCCTTTATAAGAGAGGTGAACGGACGAGTGGCATTTACTCTATTAAACCCAACGGATCTGAAGCTTTTAATGTCTATTGTGAAATGAAATCTGGTAAGACCAGCTACACTAGAAGCAGTGTAATTCTTCCTTTAACAGTTTACTGATAAACTGAAATGTGCTTACTGCCCTAAAATGTACACAAACTTACAGCAGACCACCCACAAGGTTGTCATCTATTATATAAGGCTGACTGCAGCCAGTGGCATTTCCGAATTCGTCCCTATTTTTCAAAATACCACAGAGAATTGAAGAAATCACTTCCATTCTTTGTTCAGTCCATTCTTCAGTATAAGCAAGAGGTAAATCCATTAGCCTCTGCGGGAAATAGCTTTTCATCCCTACAGCCGAATGACCACTAAAAAGCAATGATTACTAACACTGTATTACAAACAACTAGTAACTTTTCTAAATTAAACCAGTTCATTGCATAACACTCACCATGGCCAGCTAACAGTGGTTATGCTTTGAATAGTTTGACACGCATTCTTTATAAGTAAAAAAAGCAACAGGACTTTTTGTGGCTTTTTACAGATCCAGACTAACACGGCTACCCCTCTGATACTTGATTCTTTACAAGGTTATTCTGGGGTACAGAACTGCTATGAGTTTATCCATGCTAACACATTTCAATTAGTTTGTCACCAGTCAGTGACCATGTTGGATCTAAACAAGGATTGTGTCCAGGCACAACATGGTTGATACACACATAATAACTATGGCAACTACCGATGGTATATCTTTGCCAGCAGCCTACGCTGGTATCTGCTTGTCTTCCTGTAACAAAGTCATAATGCTGTTATTTCGTGGTACACACGCATGTGCATCATCAGTCTGGCCAGTTGTCCTTCCTCCCATCGTATCATACCACAGCACAGTGCCTCTCAGACTGGCAGTGCTGCTCTATGTAAGTGACCTCTTGGCTCCCTGATCTCTGGCACACACTGATGCAAACCTAGTGAGGCCGGGTGATATGTTTGGATGTGCAAACATGGTTGGCCTGTGGCTTCACTGTGAAAAGAAGCTGCTGAAGGGTCATAATTCAACCATGTTTGTTGTAACTGGGTCAGATGAGGGTGTCATGACCTGGTTACTTCAAAAAACAAAACAAAAAATCAGTCACGCTTTATACGAATGTGAGCATAATATCCTAAGCAGTCAAGAGCTACCACTTAAGAGAATTTTGTTGACTGTAAATGGTATTTAGAAAATGCCCAGCAAAGCTACTAACATGGAACAAGTAAATCTCTTTTTATCTATGGCTCTGCTCTTGTCAAAGTCCAAACAAATGGTTAAAATGACCTACCAGGTTTATGTTTTCCTTCCCTTTGTCATTCACAGACAGCTCATGGACAGTCATTCAAAACAGAGTTGATGGATCACTAGATTTCAACCAAACCTGGGAGAGCTATGCAAATGGTTTTGGAGATCTCAAGGGTAAAGGCACTCTTTTTGCTCCTTCATTTTTTATAGGCTGTTAGCTGCTTTCAGATGCTGGAATCTGGGATGACTCTAGTGCATTCACACACCAGCAGGCAGAAACAAGCAAACCAGTCTGAGCAGCTCATATAGCTAATGTGAGACACTGTCTATTGCATACCAGGAAACATAAGGCCCTGAATTCAGCAAAGCACTTAAGCATGTGCTTTCCCTTAAACATGTGCTCAGGAGCTTTGCTAAATCAAGGCCAAAAAGACTCATTTCAGCTTTGTTGAAATGTTATTTTATTTATTTAGATTCTGCACTTTTCAAACTCCCCACCCCAAGTTCTAGGTTTCCTTGATACACATTTCTGACCACAAGAAATACACAGTAAACAGCGGCAAAGTAAGCAGCACTTCTTCCTCCAACCATACCATGTTTACACTAAACACTACCACATCAATTGTTCAAGCTCAAGACACCATTAAGCTAGACAGTATTTTCCTCTCTACACATTCAGTCTCCCAATCGTTGGCAGCCAATCATCTTACCTGGCATGTGAATGGTGAGGAAACACCCATGTTTATATTAGTTAATCATCAACTCTAAGACCATTTTTAATGCCAAGCATTGGCTAACAGCTTGCCTATCCAGCAGATTTTTCTATGCATCTATTAAAAATTACTTGATTCTCCTTCTACAGAAAAAAGACTCACCGTGGCAGGACTCAGGTGGCAGATTCAAGCCACCAATTTCCCAATCTACCCACAGAGCAGTGGGTAGACAGCAGCATGATATCAACTATTGCTTTCTTTCACATCTGCAACAGTGAAGAGTTGCTCCACTCCTCCCTCTGGTGTTGGAGCAGTAAATAGGACTGAGGCAAGCATTTTCTCATGTAGGAGGATTTCTGCCTCTTATTTTAAGGAATGTGCCTTACTTGGTGTAGAATTCCCACATCCCATATCAACATAGGGTGCATTTTGTTCCACAGATCAGAAAAAATCATGCAAAGGATCATACAAGTATACAGAGATACCAATGTATGACTGTGGCCTGTGAAGGATTTTCTAACATGAATGTAAAAGGGTGGAGTGCTGCTTCTTAAAGTATTGTTCTGTATTTTTTCAAAAGAGCTTGTCCTTTGTTCCTTGAAATGTAGGTGGGCACCTTGCTTGTGTGGCATTCACATTTGGCAGTATTGTTTTTGCACGGGGATCAGCAATAGACATAATAAGAAGCTGGTTCATATTCTGCTAAACGATATGTTCAACTATCAAAAAGTCCATGAAGGAGAAAAACTACTTAAATTAAATCCATTTTTTTTATATAAGGGCATCAAAATCCCAATTTAGGCCCATCACCACCACCACCCCCACAACCACAAGTGAAATCCATTTCCATTACAATTAAGTTTTATATATGTCACTTGCTTCACTTATCATACTGTTTCAGTTACGCATTTTTTTTAAATGTCTGGAGTCCCCTTTGCAGTCCTTCACAAGTGCTGTGAAAATTAGGAGAGGTTCCATTTCATTTATATATCTAGTTTTTATTGATCACGAGTGTGTAATTAAAAAGATGTAAACAAAAAGAATGTTTCAGGAGACTCTCTGAAAAGATCAAGAGTTCCCAAGACTCATACTATTGATTTAATTAAGCAATGAATAAACCTTTTTAAATAATTGTGCTCTGTCTTAACTCCATACTAATGATATTCATGCAACCTGTCCTTGCAGGGGAATTTTGGTTGGGACTAGCGAAGTTATATTCCATTGCTAACCAAGCTGACTACATTTTACGTATTGAGCTGAAAGACTGGAAAGATAATAAACGTTACGTCGAGTACACACTCACCCTGGGAAGCCCAGAAACAGACTACACACTTCATCTTTCAGAGATCTCAGGGAATATTCCCAACGCACTGCCTGAACAAACAAAACTGAGGTTCTCTATGATGGATCATGACAATGCTACAAAGAGAGATTTCAACTGTCCAGAAAGATATTCAGGTATCAGTATTCGAAGCACATTAAAATTTCAGTTCCTTTGTTACATTAGATATAACTTCATGAATTATTGGGAATCTACTTATAATGGCTCAGCTGTCATGGATGTTAGAGATTGAAAAGACTAGTTCATAAAATCTCTCCCCTGCAAATGAAGAACATAAAATAAAATAATAATTATCAGCACTTATATAGTGCTTTTTCTCCACAGATTTCAGAGTCCTAAGACACCACCTGAGCATTATTATCCCATTTCACAGGTGTGGAAAACTGAAGCACAGAGATGCTAAGTGACTTGCTCAAGGTCACAGAGTGAATTAGTAGCAGAGATAGAAATGGAACTCAGGGGTGAGTTCCTTGTTCATTTAAGTCAATAGGAGTTTTGCCACAGACTTCAATGGAGCCAGGAGTTCACCTCCCATGTACTGGGTCCTAGTCCAGCGCCCAGCTACTGGACTACATTGGCTTTCTATATGTAATCCCTTCTTGCACAAAACAGAAGATGGACTGCATATTAACTCCACTCTATCATACGCAGCAGACTATAGTTAAGCCTGCAGCCAAGTTTCCATTTAAAGCCTGATTTTGGTCCGCTTTAAAATGTACAAAATAAGTCACATTCACCTCAAAACCGATAGATATATCTAGGACAAAGGTAGAATTTTCCTATACATTTAAAAACCAAAAAAACAAAAGAGAGTCTCCCACTGACCTCAATGGGAGTTGGATCAGGCCTAGAGAAGCCTTATTTTGAAAATGTAGTCCAAATCAGTGACTAGCCTTCTGACGTCAAACAGGAAAAGTAAAATTTGGACTAAATGACACCAAAATATTGTTTTTAGGTGGCTGGTGGCACAGAGCGTGTGGGGAAACCAATCTGAATGGAAAATATATCAAACCAAGATCAGAAGGAAAACTGGAAAGGAGACGAGGAATATACTGGAAGCCTCAGAAAGGAAGATTCTATTTGATCAAGTCAACCAAACTGATGATACATCCTACGGATTTAGAAACTTTTGAGTGAAACCTCATTCTGATGTGTTTAATTGAACACATATTCACTGAACATTAAACATAACATGAACTAATAATCAGGGCTGAATGCCCAAATACAAGGCATTACATATATTCCATACTACTCAATGATACAACACGGAGGAGTCTGCTATGGTCTTATGGTATATTTTGAGAATATTATTATTTTTTCCCAATATAAATATATTTCAAGTTCAAAACTACGTACGCATCCCCACCTTTGAACACTAGTGCCTAGAAACTGGATGTGTTTTTGATATTTTGGCAGACTGTATTGCATGTGGACAAGAATTTTCAGGCCAATGCATTCGTTTCTGGATTATGTAGAGGAGAATAATCAAAATGTTTCAATAAAAATAACAGACTGACAGAATTCTACAGAAAACATTTAAGTATTAGTTTTGAAGAAAAAAAGATTTTACTTTATAAAGTAATTTACTTTCATGTTAGACTCAAGTACTATAGTCTTGGAATGTGTCTATGCATGAATGAATTGGCAAATAATTCTGCATTTTATGGTACTATGTATTTAAATGTGAACATCCAGCTGTGCATCTTGAGCCAGATCTTCATTGTTGTGCTCATGCAACTATGAAAGCAGCACATCTGGAAATCCAGAATGTGAAACTAACCTTTTATATTATACTTTGTAGAATAATTATTAGGGCCTGATCCAAAGACTGCCATTAGTTTTTCGCATGGATTTCAATGGGCTTTGAATCAGGCCCTTAAATTACCTTTTGGTATACCTTATTTATGGAATCAACTGGACAAAGTGCTGTGTTTGAAACAGACCGATTGTCTTTAATATAAATAGAAACCAATCCTGCAACCTGTACCTATGCAAGAAATCCCACTGAAGTCAATGGTGCAACTCAACTAATCACATTGGTAAGGACTATAAGATCCTGCAGGACCTTCAGTCACAATCCTGCAAACACAGATTTGCATAAATTTACTCAAAGGAGGAACCCGCAAAGATGGGACTATTCACATATTTACGGTTAAGCGTGTAAGTGTTTGCATGGTAGGAGCCGTAGAATGTGATTATTTTGAGTCATATTGACTTTTCTATCTTACCTAACAACTGTACTGTATGAATTTTGTAGCATTTTAACATCTGTAGCCATTAAAACCCCCCCACCTTTTTAAACTATATTTTGTCAAAATAAAAACAAGGTTGAATATAATTAGCAAATTTCAGAGAAACAATGAACTAACTAATTTAATTAGAGGTCTGATGCTGTTGAAATGCACTCATTACAATCAAAGTAAGATGCTCAATCAAGACAAACTGCACATTTGTACCGATGTACTGGAAATGTTTAGTTGTTTGTATGACACTTTAAAAATCAATAAAGAAGATTTCCAAAAAGAAACTAATATGTACCATGAATAAAAGAATTCTTAAAGGGTTAGTTTTCTGTGAGTTGGTTGTACCCATACAGAGGTTTGTCTAGTTCACAGAGGCCAAGGAGACCCACACCAGCTTAAAGGAAAGGTAGTCTGGGGATGAGGACAAGAACTGTCTTGGTGCTGCTTATCCTCTGTGCAAATCTCAAGTCCCCGTCTGCCTTGGAAGACAAGAAACAGCAGAGCTGTCTCACCAGTTTTTCCCACCAGCTTGTGCTGTTCCATCCTACCCCCAGGACTGGATCCTCACTCCCCTGTCCTGCCCCTTGTAACAATACCTGAGTGATAAATCTACTGTACTGCTATTTAGACTGTACTTCGAAGTTCTCCAATTTCAGTGGTCTGGTGTTGGGTTTTTTCACTGCTAATAGACTAATCCACAGACACAAACCAATTCACTGTCGAGTCAAGAAAAGTCATTACTTCCTGGTTAAGCCCCAGTCACTAGACCCATAGAAGACTGCCAAACATCTGGAAAAAAAACCAATGAGAGATGTCCTGCCCCTGAAGAGCAGGAAGTTGGGTCTGTAGAAAGATATATAAGCCATGGGAATTGTGGGATAGCATTGGCGGCCTATTCAAACATGACCTCAGCAACACATGCTTTAGCTTCATCCTCATTGCAAAGTGGATGGTCTGAGACACAAATTTCAGTAAGACATAGGTACAGGGGTACCTATACTCCTGGACACGCTAGCAAGCATGTATCCTGAGGATCTAAATACATGTGTCAAGGGCTTTATGTATGGATGGTAAGATGGGGTTGGGCTAAAACACGTGTCAGACCTGCAGTTTAGATACACTTTCAATGGACTTCAGCACTAGCTACTTCTAGCGAAAGAGCCCAAGAGTTCAAATCCTTGGTAAAAATCCTCTAGCAGGAGAGAGGGTCTTGACTGACAGGTAGAGTCCGATGTTTTAGAACCCCAACATCTGACCCTTAGTGTTCTATGATGAAGAATGTGAGATGGGTTTTCATCTCCCTACTTTCACTGCCTCCGTCTCCTTTCCCCTCTATCACAGCTGCAAAACGAGCCCTTCCCCACCTCATCAGCTTCCTCCCCCATCCCCAGTCTCTGAAAGTAAGACTCATGAGTAAGCAGCCCATCACCCACTCCTAATGGCCAGGCTTTGAGCTAACAGCTGGGTCCTGGAGACAGGCCAATTATGCCCGGCCCACAGCTGCCCAATGACTGCAGCCTTCCAGCATGAGGCAAGGGATGGAAATGATTACGAAGGGGAGACAGGGCAGATCAGGATGGTCAGCTAGGAGAAGAATGAAGTAATTTGGAAGGGCAGAGAAGGACTGGCTCCCCCAGAAGAACCCAGCCTCTCTTCCCCATAAAAACAGCATGTCCCTACCCAACAGGGGTATAGGGAGGATAAATCCATTAAAGATTGCGAGATGCTCAGATACTATGGTAATGGGGGACCATATAAGTACAATAAATGAAGTAGCTAAAGAATATACTTTCAGAAACAGTTTAAATGGGTAGCTGGTAATAAAAATGTTTGTTATATACATACTACAAGGAACAAAAAAACGTTTTAGTCTTGTAATGTGAAATGCTGATGTTCCACATGATCTGTAGGACATTAGTATAATTTCAATGCAGGTAATTGATTTTTAATGCGCTTAATCGTTTGACTATCCATAGGATTTATACCTGAATATGTATTGAAGTGCTATGAACAGGTCAACAAAATATTTACTGTGACTATATTTAAGCAGTTATTAGAGATCTATGAAATGTTTATACTAAAATGTAATGCAGAGATGTGAACTGGTGAAATGACTCAGCAGAAAAGGACAGTCTCAGTCAGTAATGTATTCTCTTCAAGGGTTAATGTTTATAAGAAAAAAGCAAAATAAGTTAAGATGATCTGAAAGTAAAGACAGCAAATCTGTCCTCCAGCTTGGAGGGGAGCTATGGTTGGTCAAAAACAGTAATAATAAAAATTCTTGCAGAAAATTATTTAAATTTATCTTTTCCAATTTTTTGGTGGATTTTCTTTTATTTTTATTTTTCACAGGAGATAAATGTTCTTTCTCCTTTTTTCACCCCCACCAAAAAGGGGGTAGAGGAGGAGTATGAGAGAAAAATGATAGGGAAACCAAAATACTGAAAACTGAACACACAACATTTTGTGTTTTGTTCTGGTGCAGTATTTTGAATGATAAACCGGCAATGCACTATGTAGTTCTGTTGACACATCAAAGGGCTGGGTTGAACCTAAAGCTGGTGGAAATTTTTTCTTCTAAACATTTTTTTCAATTAAAAATAGCTTTTCAAATTATAGGAATTTTTTCTACTAAAATTTTCATACAGTCAAAGACATTTTGCATCGAAAAAATGTTTACAAGAAAAAATTTTGATCATCTCTAGGTCCAACCCAATCCTATGGCCCCTGAGCATGTGACCCTATCTTCCCAAAAGGCATTCTCTCCCTTCTGCCTTCCAACATAAGAACATAAGAACGGCCGTACTGGGTCAGACCAAAGGTCCATCTAGCCCAGTATCCTGTCTACCGACAGTGGCCAATGCCAGGTACCCCAGAGGGAGTGAACCTAACAGGTAATGATCAAGTGATCTCTCTCCTGCCATCCATCTCCACCCTCTGACAAACAGAGGCTAGGGTCACCATTACTTACCCATCCTGGCTAATAGCCATTACTGTTACTCTTACAGCACCTCCCCATGACACATGAGCAAAAGGAGGGAAAAGATGTGCTGAAATTAACCCCTTGTTCACGGATACCATAGCCCCGATTTACTGACACAGTTGTAAAACTCATCTGGATTTGAGTTTCATTATGTAACTGAAAGACAGCTCAGGTTTATGGTTTCATGTTGGGACTGTGCTGAAGTAATTATGATTTTAACGCAAAACCACATGAAACATGTGAGGTTGCAACTGAAATTTCCTTTGAGGTTTTGGGTTTGTTTGTAACCGAAACTCAAGCAAACCTCATACAGACTAAAAATGAAGAAAGCTCGCTCAGACTGTAAGAAAGCCCACAAATTGCTGAGTTTTATGCAGCTAGGTCTACTAGGTTCTGCAAAGAACTGTTCTACAGCTGTTTATTTTTTGCCATAAGAATCTGACTCTTTATGATGTCTTTGGCACAGGGAATCTGATGCTGTGGCAAGTTTTGCAGCAAATCACATGATAAGCGTGGAAGGTCTGGACCTGCTGATCTTATGGGGATTAAAATGTATTTCAAAATCTTACCTATAAGTAGTATTTGGAATATACACATCCCTAGCAGGAAACTCCAGTATCTCTCTTGTAGGTCTAACTCTGCTATCTGGGTAAAGTTTGACTTGCAGCAATTCTGGAGTTAGACAGTAATGAGGATTCTCTGGGGCTGGAGATATGTCTATCTTCAGCTGAGCTATAGAAAAAAAAATATTTTTATTACAATAATTGAAAGAAAAATACAAATTCAGTGTGCATATTAATGCTGTTTTCTAGAGTGGAGAAGGGTAAATATACTTGCCTTTCACGTCTGAAAAATATCCTGAGAGAAAGGTCTATTAGCCTGTGAAATAATTTACTAAGGGAAACATCTAGACACCCATCACTTGGCACTTGAAATACTAGACTGCGTAATAAATATACAATCAGGAACTATCCTGAACTGCCAATGATATGGTTTACAATAGTAGGATTTTCCCATCTAGAAGATACACATAGATCCTACGATGCCTCAGTCCTGAAGCAAATGCATTTGTAAACACTGAAATAAA